GGCGAAGTCCCCCAACGACTCAACCGCACTCCAAGAAGCGAAGAAATACCCGCAGCTTCATATTTTTTTGGTCGTTTCACCCCCTGATAATTCCGCTTCCCGCCGTTCACCCAGCGTCCGCATTTTTCGGATGGGGTATAGTCGTTGTTGCCCGCGCGAACCTCGGCCACGGTGGAGGGGCAAAAACTATCGGAGTCGGGGACCCTTAATTAAAAGGAACGGTCGCCCAACCGTTTTGCAGCCCACCGCAACCGTCGCGCCACGAAAACTCCACAGCTCCCGGTCCCTGCTTTGCCGCTGCGTCGTCACCTCGTGTAGACGCCCGGGTCAGGAGAAACCAGCGAACTGCACCGTTGTTGTTATGCGGCGCCCCGATTTTTTCGCGTGCTGTTTCACCCAGCTCGCTTTTGTCGGAGTAGAACAGTGCCGCAACTCCACCTTTTTTTGTTTTTTCCGTACAGCTGTTGAACGAGCACCAATCCAGGTGCCTTTAACCAGCACAGGGTAGGCCCGTGTTCACCCCCGTTATTCGGCCAAGTAAGTTGACTGCATGAGTCAGAACTAAAACTTGGTGGGGATGGTGAGGTTCGGGCGACGGAAGGTCACAGGCCGTTCACACCGGCTTTTAACCTGCCCTTCACGCCGTTTCTCGACCCCCGCTTAGCCGTCGGGCAGTTTCTTCCCGTGTGTCCCGGCGGCCTGTACCGACTCCTCCGTAAATGTCGGGGCAGTACGTTGAACGCCGTTTAATCGTGGGTCGCTTGCAACTGTCCCCGAAAACGACTTCTCTAGTAGGAGAAACCGCTCTCGAAACTGCCGGCAAGCTTGCAACAACTCCAGGCACGCAGCGTCGCACGAGTCGTTTTCCGAGGTTACCGGCCCCGGTTTCCCTCGTCGCCTGCGCCCCACTTCTGCTAAGTGCGATATGGCCACTCCGCTTTTCGTTGCAGCCCGTAAGTGTCGGCGGGTCCGAAAATCCCGTCTGTCCATGAGCACTCCTGCCGAAATCTTCGATGACGCGCCCGCCATGCAGTAAAAGCCGCTGCACTTCAGGTCGGGCGGGACGGCAGTTAACTCCCACTAAGTCAGGCAGTTTAGTGTCGTCTCTCCTCGTCCACCGATATTTTCGGACGCAAACTCCATTTGCGCCTGGCGAGTTCCCCAGCCGACTTTTTCTTCAACAGAAGCTCCGAAAATGTCGCCCCCTTTGTCGCCAGCTGCCGAAGGTCTTTCCGAAATCTTCGCGTAACGGTTGACTCAGGTCCGCCGGCGTCAACAGCCACACACAGTGACGACGTCGAGGCTGTTCATGCAGATGCCGACGCAGGTCCGCTGACGCCAGCTGCCACACGAATAAACCTCCGAAATCGTCGGAAATCGCAGCGGAAATGACTCACTTTAATGTCGCGACAGCTTCAGCTGTCCGTCGCCCGGGGGGAGGGAGGCCACGGTCGATCGCGACCGTTCGAGGCAAGGATCTGGCGGTGCCGAAGGAGTACCCGTAAAAACATAGCCGCGAGGAGCAACTAACTAGTTCTCCTTGCCGGCCTACGCGACTCCTGGACCCCAAGACATCCTTCCTCGTCCCCCCCCCCCCCCCCCCCGAGGGGTATTACACTCCTAAAAGCGGGGTGAGCTAGGAAAGTAGCTCTGATACCAGGTGTTATGAATGAACTTGCAGAGTGCGCAGTAAAACGAATAACGAGAATGATTGCGTACTGAATTACTGAATGACGATACAATGAGAATGCCGAGGCCTAAATAGGGGAAAAGCTGGCTAGGCGGGGAGGTTGGGTGAGGATGGCTTGGTGATGGTTGCGATTGGAGCGGAGGCCGACTCGGGAGTGGTTCGGTGCGACGAAATAGGAAGGTCAGGTTCGTCGCGTGACCCTCGGGATGGCCTCGCTAACGAGTGCCTCAGTAAGGATTTGTAAATCCTTACACTAAGGGGATGTAGAGAGAGATCGATATGTTAGGGAGGGCTGGCCTGGGGGGAGGGAGGAGGTGGGTTGTGGGCTGGTCTGTTGCTGAAACGCACGCGCGGATCTGGTTGGCGGGAAAGTGGGGGAGTGAAACGGAGAAGGGATTTTCGGGGGGGCGGGGGGGGGGGGGGGGGGGGGGGGGGGAGGGGGGGTACATGGAAAAATTTCCGGGTCGCTCCCAAATCTACTCGGAGCCTCCGGGAACAGCCAAGCAACACTCGTACCCCCCAGGCCCAGGCTCGGAATCACTCGGATTTCGTCAGGGTCGCTCTGCAAATCGCCCTGCAAAAATCCGAGCCATGTAAAAAAAACCTTGTAATTTCAGTCAAGAACGAGCATTTGCCCTGATAGCCTTAGCCCTGGGCACGACCACGATTGTGCTGTACAGCAGATGTGAAATCAATGTCTGATGTGGGCGTTCTATCCACAGGTACAGGTGCACTGCCAGTCCAAATGGTGACGTTTTGTTCCTCACTGTGGCTATCAAGCAGGCAAGGTCCTTCGCCAACTGGTGACGTTGGTTGCGGCAATTTCGTGCCTTGCCTTCCCGAAACTGAAAGGATGCGACACCATCATGAGCAAAGGGGAAGACTGCCTCGGTGTTCCTTGTTCTCATTCTCAACTCACTGTCCACTCCTTTGGGTGCTGTTCGGGAGCCCCAGAAATGAGGTGGAATCATCACCAAACGGAGAGAAAGTAGGTTCGGAAGCCCAAAAATCGCGTGCGACCCCCATGCGACTGCCATCGTCACCAAACCTCACGGTTTGGAAACATCAAACCAGCAAGTCCTCATCAGCGGCTCGAGATATCGATTTGCCGCCCCTACCGCCGATTGGCTGCACAGTAATCACGGGCAAAATTAGACTGACTTTCTGCTCGCCAATCTTTGGCGAGCGCCAGATGAGTTTGACTTGAGGAGTAGAATTTATGCGGCAGAAGAGTAACATTTGCGATTTACAAGGGCGGACCTGTACGCCTGTGTGAACGATGTTGCCCTACAAAACACATCAATTTGTTTTTCACTTACATGTTGTCTGCTGGGGCCACTACATATCGGAAATTTGTTAGGGAGGGGAGAGAATTGGAGGTGTGGGATGCTCGAGAAGTGGTGGTGGTGATAGGGCAGCGTGATCTTTGTGCGGAGATTTTGCTCGTCCTTTAGGATGTGGGCCCGATCGGGTCTGATCGGCTGTGATCTGATCGGCTCGGATTTCTTGTGAATACTTTTCTCGAGCCGCCCGATCAGCAATGTTTTCCGTCGAAGTTTTGAAGCTGTTTCTCGGCAAGAGCACGAACATCTCGCGGAAATTCTTATCCAACTCATGCGAGATTGGCGACTGAGCGTGACCTAGCGAATAAATTTGTTTCCCTATAACATCGTCAACCCCTGAAGAGTTCTCGCCGTATGCCGTTCATGAGCGAAGAGCTCACGACGCTAAAATAACAGTGTAACATTTCGCAACCATCGTTATGGCCCTTGATCACATGCAATCAACTGATCGAGGTTGATAGAGCAAAATCGAGTCTGATCGGGGTGAAAATCGGATAGATTGAATTGGGGCGATCAGCTGATCGCGATAAGCTGATTGCCCCCGATTGCCTGAAATTGGATTTCGGGCTTCCTCGAAGTTGTTGATTGCTTCTGATAGAGGCGATCAAACTCGATTGGGCCCACGACATTTTGCTCAACGTGCAGCGCTGACTATGCACTCCCGTGTTCGTTTGTCCAACTGTCAACACTGTTTAAACAGCTGTCATTTTTGTTTCTCGGTCAACACTTCACAGTTGTCCACGAGGGTCTTTGTCCGTATCTTGATTAGGCTCGGTGCCATACCTATCACCAACTTTGTGCTCATTCTCATTTCTAGGGCTCCCGAACAGCACTTTGAGCAGAAGCCGCCTGCCACCATCACAGATGGAACACCTGGTGATGCTGTTGCGCATGATTTCTACTCACGTGATTCATCCACAAGAGGACCTGCAAGCAGTTTCGTCGTTTGCATGTCCAGCCTGACCACATGAAATGATAGCTTTGTCACGTGAGAAGTTTGAAGTCAAATCTGTACAGTGCTCGCCAAATGCTTTCTTCGGAGGGCCATAATTTCATTGTTGCTGTATCCCGAATACCCTTCCAAATCCGGGTCTTTGTTTGGCCAGCCCGCTGAATTTGGCGCCCGTCCGAACCTGGCGGGTTTCAGCTCAACAAAATTCGAGCTGCAAACTCATTCACTAACCTCACAGAAGGGCACTACGAAATTCCAGTTTCATTTCGCAAGCCCTCTGTCCCCGTGGACTAATTTCCGAAACACGGATTTCCCATGTTCCCGTCTCTAAGTTTGCAGGAGTAGGGAGGGACACAAAAAACACTCACATGACAGGCAAAGAGGCGCGAGTGGAAATGGGTGGGAATGTGCGGTTCTGGCGCTTGGTGGTGTATGTGTCAGTGGGAATGGAATGGAAAAATCATAGGGACTCAACCCTGCAAGGCAGGGTGTTTCAAACAAATGCCTGCGCCGGATCTTCCTCCAGCCTCACCGCCCCAGATTCATTGTTGGTGTTCGTAGAGACACAAAACCGAAGCAAAATGACGATCTGTGCTAGATCACGTTCCGTGACGCGACGCGGTTTGCGAGCAGGTCTCTTTTCAGGTGGATCATCATGGTCATACGGAACCGCCATTTTTAGCAATCTGGTTGGATCTGCTGCTCTGCTGTCATTCGATATCGCGCGTCAGTTTCAGCTGTCACATGGGCAGACGTGTGCTGCTGATGATGGAAAGCTGCTGATTTCCAGCTACAGTAATGCACTGTGCAGCCTCCTTGCGTGCTGGATGTTGATGCCAAATGTCCAAATAGAAGAACCACGTGCAGGATTCGCTTGTTTGAAACAGAACGGTACGGTTGTTTTCATAGTGGTTTTTTGTAATAATAGAGTTTGAAGTGCGTTTGAAAAAATTGCATATGTCCGATTACGCGGCTAAGTTTGGAACGATGCGAGAGAATCGAGGATTCACGAACGATGATTCTCCCGCTTCTGCCAGAAGTTTTCAACCACTGCATCCAATCTGGTCCCAAGCAGTTTCCATCGCTGCCTCGTCGTGCCCCTTCTGAACAAGGACTCACCGTTCCTTGCCTCTCCAAGAAGCTCACAACCGGACTGTAACCAGCTGGCGGTGACCCCAACCAACCAACAAGCCCATTTCACCCACTTACCGAAACCGCCCCCACCGTCGACTACATAACCCACTCCCACTCTCGTCTGTCACTCAACTCAACAGTTTCTGACATTCACACATTTGCTTCTCGTCGTTCTCAACGAGACCAGCTCCTCTCGCTTCACTCGCTCTGGTCGCATTTTCGGAGTTACTTTCAAAAGCAGTCCCCATGGAAGCCTCTGCCAGTGCCGTTCCTGCCCAGCGCTCACAAACCCTCCGCGCCCACAGCAAGCGGAAAGCCGAGTCCACCGACGCGTCTGCGACTGAGGGTCCTTCCGCGAAGCACTCCTGCCCCAGCCGCCTCTCAACGTCCTCCGCGAATTTCTCCGTCTTCGACATTCCCACAGGCCACCTTCTTGATCATTTCACGCTCGAACCCACCGTCCTGGGCGCCGGCCAATACGGTACCGTCCGTCAGTGCGCCGACAGATTAACCGGCCAGCGGTTTGCGTGCAAGACGATCCAAAAGAGCCGGTTGGTAACGGATGCGGCTCGCACTGAAGTCCGACGCGAGGTCGCTCTCATGTCCCGCGTCGCAGGCCACCCAGGCGTGGTGGGCCTACGAGCTGTTTTCGAAGACGACAAGGAGGTGCACCTGGTCATGGATCTGTGCGAAGGCGGCGAGTTATTCGACGAGGTTGTGCGGCTCGGGAGGCTGTCAGAGCGCGACGCGGCGCTGATTTTCCGACAACTGGCCTCCGGTGTCGCCTTCTGCCACTCGCGCGGCGTGCTCCATCGCGACCTTAAACCCGAGAACATCCTCCTCCACAGATCAGCCCCATCCGGCGCCGTCCCCGCATCTCCTGCCGCAGATTCCGCTCTCGCCGCGCCCCAGTCCCTAGAATCCCGCGGTCTGACCGCGAAGCTCGCAGACTTCGGCCTTTCGATCGCTCTGGATAACGGACGTATGGGTTACGGTACAGCGGGCTCGCCCTTTTACATGGCACCCGAGGTACTCACTGGCGAGTACGAATACGCAGCCGATGTGTGGTCTCTGGGCGTGATTCTCTACATCATGCTCTGCGGCCGGCCGCCGTTCTGGGGGAAGACCGACGCCGCGGTGTACGATGCGATTCTGCGCGGGAAACTGGACTTTTCGGGGCCCGCGTGGGCGGGAGTGTCGGTCGAGGCGCGCAGTCTGATTCGCTGCATGCTCCAGAGCGACCCGAGGCGGCGCCCGACGGCGGTGAAGGTGCTGAGTCACCCGTGGGTGCTGCTGCACCTGTACGGTATCCGCGCTGTGAAGCAATCCGTTGTTGGTAGCGAAGCGGAGTCGAACAAGAATCACGTTGCGGTTTCCAATGGTGCAGCGGCTTCTCCCGCTGCTGTTGGCGCTGCGGCCCAGCGCGCTGCAGCGTGCTGACTAATCAGGAGAGGATGACGCGAAGTCGCGACGCGACCTCCAGAAATGTGTGTTTCTACGAGGCGCGAATAATCGATTAAACACCCTTGTTGAAGACTGTGGGGTTGAGGTCAATCGCTTTGACCTACATATTGTTTAGGACCTAATTACAAAATTCCTCCATGTCCTCAATGGAGCATTACTTATGAGCATAATTACTCTTTCCATTCCACCCTACCTCTTGAGATTTTATAGCAAAGGTTGTGATCATACTTTACATTATTACTTCGCTTCAAAACACAATCTCGAAAGACCCCTGATACATTTATCTTTATAACCAGCGAAACTTCTCATTTGTGCCGAATCTTCACCCGTCACACCCTCAAGAGCTTTCCACATTACGCTACATGTTGTCGTTCTCAACCAACGTGTCTTCGCGGCGCTACGCTAACCCCCCTCCAGCGGTTTAGTGCGCCGGTTGTGATGTACGGGCGCGCGCAACCGACGCGTCATTTCCGTCGTAGCATAATTGGATTTAGTCCACCAGCGTCTCCCACTCGCTAGTACTTCTTCCGCCACCCGCTTCCGCCACCCCCTTCCGCCACCCCCTTCTGCCACCCGCTTCCGCCACCCCCTTCCGCCACCTCCGCCTGCCAGCCAACATCACAACCCGCACTAGCAACACCGCTACTGCCGTTGCAACCGTTGCCGCCACACGTCGCAAACCCCTACGCAGACGATCCGTAAGATGCGCGTCGCAAATGCCACCGCAACAAGCTCGCGTTTGCTAGACTCGAATGCGGATCGCCGCGGCGAACTCGACGATCGCGCCGGAAGCGCCGCAGCTGAAGCCCCGATTGTGACGGTTGTTGAAGTAGGCGGAGACGGCGGAGGCGGCCGAGGCGGCGGATTAGATGCCGCTGCGGGTAATGCGCGCAGAGTTAGTGGAGACGGCGGAAGCGCGGAGGCGGAGGTCGGGGGGAACGCGGAAGGGCGGGATTGTGGAAGGGCGGAGCAGAACGACGGGGGAGGGGGAGCCGCGGCCTCCGCGGATCCCCCTCATCGTGTTCGGTTCATGCAACTGCAGAAGTTTCTGCGAAGCTGCGATGAGTCAAACTATAGCGCCCTCACTACATGTATTCCCCCCTTCCCTCGCCCCTCTTCCCGCTCACCTATTCTCCCCCCCCCCCCAATACCCGCTCCCCGATTCCCTGTCTCCCCTTTCCCGTTCCCCATTTCCCCCTCCCCTCTTTCCTCCTCCTTGCACCGCTTTTGTCCATGTCCATAGCAGCCACACACAATATCATTCCTCCCCCCCCCCCCCCCTCCCCCACATCCCACTTCCCCCTTTCCTCCTCCTGCGTGTCGCATGGAATAACAGCCACTCACACCAACGTTCTCTCCCCTTCCCACCCCGTCCCCTTATACCCCACGTCCACCTCCCACCTCTCCGACTCCCCCTTCCCCGCATCCCCATCCCCCACCTCCACCTTCCACTCCCCCCTGCAGCGCCGCAGCTGTTTCACGTTGGCAAGCTCGTGAAATCGCAGCCAGTTCGCCCCCTTTCTCCCACTCTTTCCCCGCTCCCCCCCTTCCCCCTCCCCCCTTCCCCCCTCCCCACTTTCCCCCCTCCCACTCTCCCCCCTTCCCCCCTCCCCCTGCAGCGCTTCTGTCCATGTCAGCGTGGGATCGCAACCTGTTCGTCCCCTTTCTCCCACTCTTTCCCCCTCCCCGTTCCCCCCTTCCCCCTTCCCCTCTTCCCCCCTTTTTCCGCCCTCCCCCTGCAGCGCTGCTGGCCATGTCAGCGTGGGACCGCAGCCAGTTCGCCGCCCACTCTGAGAAGAGAGCACTGCAGCTGGGGGCGGAGGAAGGTGAGGGGGAGGGGTTCGAAGGGAGAGTGAGAGGTTGGTGGGTGCGGGAGGGGTGTGGTTTTGAAGGTGGTGGCAGAGAGTGGGTTGGCCAGTTTGCCGCCCACATGGACAAGAGAGCGCTGCAGCTGGGGGCGGGCGGAGGAAGGTGAGGGAGAGAGTGAGAGGATGGGTGGGATGGGGCCTTGAGGGGAGAAGGGGGCGGCCGAGGGAGGGAGAGAGAGTGAGGGGATGGGCGTGATGAGGCCTGGAGAGGAGAAAGAAGGGGGGGATTATGGACATGGGCAGAGAGTGGGCTGGGCAGTTTGCCGCCCGCACGGAGAATAGAGCGGTGCAGCTGGGCGTGAGGTGAGGGAAAGAGGACGCGAGAAAGAAGGAGGAGAGAATGGGAGTTTTAATGGGAAAGGAACGGAGACTTTTGAGGCGAGACATTGCTGCAGTTGGGGGCGGAGGATGGTGAGTGAGATGGGGAGGGGGGGGGATGTTGTGCATGGGGGAGAGAATGGGGGTATTGTGTGTGGGGTGTGAGGAGTGGGGGAGAGTGGTGGTGTGTGGGGGAAATAGTGAGCTGGGCAGGTCACCACCTGGATGGAGAAGGAAAGAAGAGAGCATTGAAGATGGGGGCAGAGGAAGTTTGACCCTTGTTGACCCGAGCTAAATGTTGTTGCTCCCATGTTGACCCAATCCGTGCTGTCAAGCATTACATTTTTTGTCCTTTTGCACCTCCCCTCCCTCACCTCCCCTCCTGCCCATTCGACCGCCCCTTCACCTGGCTGCCAACAGCCCTTGAAATGAAGCGGGTGAAGCGGCTCAACGTGCTCGGGATGAGACGGCAAGCAGGCAACCAGCAGAGCACGCAAGCTCAACCCTTAGAGCCAAACCCACTCCCGCCACACGCACACCCACAACCACCACAGTCACACCCTCTTGTGTCACATTCTCAGACACAGGTGGAGTTGCATCAGGGATTGCAGGCTCAGCCACAGTAAGAGGAGTACGATCAATACAGTTACGCGTACAGTCACACTTCAAGCAACCTTGCCCGGCATTCACTACGCCACTTCCCAGCGCTGGAGTACCGGTTGTTGGTCCTCTCCATATAGCAGCCTCCTCGTTACAGTCACTTCAGTTAGTGCAGCTGCACCAGATAGAGAAGGCAAATCATTGCAGCATCCCCTTTAGGCAAAGCCCTAGTCCTTCACCTCCCCATCAGTACAGTAGTTTAATTAAGTTAGCTTTAGTTAGTTTTGTTTAGTTGGTTATTTTATGTATCCAAATAGCAGGCAAACTTTCATTATGACATTGTGCATAGTTTTTTCAGCTCTGAATGCAGCTGCCTTTATTTGTTTCGTTTCGGTTCAGATAATGTGTTTGATTACATTTGTGCTAAAAGTAAGCACAGAACACATACAATTCGGCCTGAAGCAGGAGTCACTGGGCTCCGCTTTAGCGAATATATTTTCTGCTTTGGGTTGGACGGAGAGAGCGCCAAACTGGCCCGAAGCGAAATGTCGACGAAGTTTTGACGAGGCTTCGCCTTACCTCTTTCGATTTCATCGTGGCTCGGCGATGGGTTGACGAGATTGGCACGTGGTTTACTCTGAATGGATAACTCTCTCGCTGACCACCGTCTGTTTGGCGCGCTTGTACCCAAACTGGCTGCATTTGACTCGAGTCGACGAGCAAAACGACAACTGCTGAGCTGTACAGCTCAGCTCCGCGCGTCGGAAACTCCAATCAGGTGCACCCTTGGACGGAAGCGCACTGCAACGCAAACACCCTCTGTCCAATTGGCGGCGGAAATGGCATCACCTCCCGAGGCGTCATTTGCCGCGCATGGCGGCACTCTTGCTCTCGTGACTCCTCCCTGACTTTGTGACTTGTGGGTCGTGCTTGATTCCACCACCAGACGCACGCAAAGCATATTCCCATCAACCCAGAGCACAACGCGAAGCCTCATAGGATATAGACCTCTAATTAGTGTCAAATCACTCTCAGTTCGCACTTCTACAGCTGAGCCTCCTTCCCTAGTTTTTCCGCCTTCTGAGACTACTAGCTCTTATCTCATCCTCCTATCATCAGAACTGGATCGAATTCCGCTATCCCTTTCTAGTACCGATTGCGTCACGGGTCGTTCAGAAAATGGCCACCGATACTCTCTCGTTTCTGCCTGCTATCGACTTACCAAAGTTGGCAGCAGCCTCAGGCGCGGCATCAAACTGCGGATCTTCTAATTCCCGTATGGAATCTCCCCGCCGATTGATCGTCCGCGAAGGATGCGACAACAGCGATGTTTTGGCGTACGTTAAAGCGCTAACTGGATCCATCGGCAGCAGTCGCCTATTTGGACTTAACATGGCCTTCGACGGATTAAAGCCTACTCGCCCCTCCATCGGCGACTGTTACCGCTTCGGGAGGGAGCTTGGGCGAGGCCACTTCGGCGTGGTGCGAACATGCTCGGACAAGACGACGGGAGAGCATCTAGCATGCAAGACGATTCTCAAGGACAAGATACAGGTACGCGATTCGTCTTCGCCCTTTTAGGCTTAATCAGGTGGCAATAAAGTGGTTAAATCTCCTTATAGAATCACTAATTATGTATTTATATTTTCAATTACGCAGAAAGAAGAAGACCTGAGAGAGTTCGCGGCGGAGATGACGACGATGATTCATCTGCACGGGACGCCCGGGCTGGTTCAGCTGAGGGAGATATTCGACGACGAGCTGGCGGTGCATCTGGTTATGGAGTTCTGCCAAGGCGGCGACTACTTCGACCACATCGCGAGGAAGAAGCGACTCTCTGAAGGCGAAGCGGCGCATATCTTTAGGTACAGAAGGATCCGTTTTAGGTTTCAAAGCGCTTAGAAGTATCGTCACGGTGATGCATCTCGTTTCAACCTTATAAATTAGTTCTGAGAGTTTTAGTCTGCTGGACTAATGGATTTGCAATCATTTGGTTTTTGTTGGCAGGCAAGTGGTGGTTTCCGTCAACGCGATGCACGCTAAAGACTTCGCCCATCGCGATCTCAAGCCGGAAAACATCCTCATCGCGAAGAGCGCATCGCACTCAAACGAGGATGTTGAAGTGAAGATCGCGGACTTCGGGCTGGCGATCGCCGTGAATGAGGGAAAGGGGATCAAAGGAGTCGTCGGTAGTCCGTTCTATATGGCGCCTGAAGTTATCAAGGGAAAACCCTACGGCGTGGAAGTCGACGTGTGGAGCCTCGGAGTTATCCTCTACACCAGCCTCGCAGGTACTGCTGCAGATGAATTCCTTTGTTTTAATGTTGGAAACAATTAACGAGTACTATTAGATTATCCCTTTCTTTCTGATTACCAAAAATCACATCTAACACTCTCGTCCCTCGCTTTTCTTTCAGGCGTCCTTCCGTTTTGGGGAAAGGGTCACCAAGCCGTTTTCACCGCCATCTGCCGCGCCCAGCCGGACTTCGATCGCAGTCCGTGGCCCTTGATCTCCACCGAAGCGAAGCATCTCATCCGTCGGATGCTGACACTCGACCCGACGAAGCGGATACGCGCGTGCGACATCCTCGAGCATCCCTGGATGAAGTCGGCCCACGCGAACGGGGCTCCGCGACGTCGCAGCAGCCTTCTGCGAAAAGTGTTTGGCGACATCTCAGTTCAGTGGCCCGCGAACTTGATTCCCGGCATTTCTGGACTCGGAGGGGCCGCCCCTGCTCCGCCTGCGTCAACACCTGCGGATCCGGTTGCGACGAGCGATGACAGCAAGGCGGAGACGTGTTCCGCCAAGGCAACCGCCGTTACATCTGGCGCGTCGATTCCGCAGGAGCCGGAGACTAAGGAGGCCGGGACGGACGCCGTGTCTCTGTGCGGTAGCGATGAGGGAAGGAAGGCGGTCGCTCCAATAATGGTTCCAGCTCCATTGGTGAACGGGGGAAGTGGAACAGCGGCCCTGCGCGCGCTGAAGCCAGTTCCGAACCAATCGAGGGAGAATGCGGGGGTCACGACGGCGGGTGTTCAGCGTTTCGCCGCGCAGAAGGCTGCATGTATTGGCGCGGAGAATCATCCGCCAGCCGGGCAGCAGGTTCTTCCGGTTGAGTCACATTCTACACCTCGAGTCCGCCCAGCGGGTGAAATATTTGCTGGAAATAATGCTGGTTGCGTTTTTAGCAACAATTCAAGCGATGGATGTACCGATTCAATGGCCTACAGTGCCGAGGTTGGCGACTTCAGCAGCGACGACAGTAACCCGAGTCAGCCGTCGCCCAGGACTCCCCCTTCGCGAAGATCTGGAGCAAGGAAAGAGCGGGAAATTGTTGGCAGCAGCCACAACGGTCAGAAGAACCGTCAGATCCAGAACAACCATCAGCTTGCTTACTCCATCGCACACCCGTTCCCCGGCCTTTACGCGTGTCCCAACTCGCCCAGTTTCACTCCGTCGCCGTCCGCTATCGCCGGCGCGAATGGCGGTCATCAGCTGGGACCGTTCGCCTCCGGCGTGGGGTTCTGTTGGCCCGGAATCTTCAGTCCGCCGGATAACGCCCGCGGTAGCATGTGTTTGCCAGATCAGCAGCAGCAGGCATCGCCGATGTCGCCGCGTCTTCCGGCGCAAGTGGGATTCCCCGAGCTGCAGCCTCTGCCGCCGACGCTCCACTTCGCCTTAGGCTCGGAATCCGCGTCGACGACGCTACCGCTACCGACGTCAGTGCCGGATTCGTCGCACGGTTTCGTGACTCCTGGGTCGTCGCAGACAGACGCGTGGGTTTCTGATGCGGCGCATCTTGTGACGGCTCCTTCGATTTCGGACGGCATCCCTATTTCACCGTCGCAGCTTTCCTCGGCTGCCACCCTTCCATCCGTGCCGGAGTCCTTCGCGCTGGAGATCCACCACATTGTCGCAGCGTGGGAGGAGCAGGAGGCTGGTGGCGCTGCGTCGCACGGCGACGATAGCGACGCCGGCGACGGTGATGGCGACGGCGACGGCGACGGCGACGGCGAAGGTGGAGCTGCAGCAGATCCGTTGACGGAGGTGGCAGCAGATGCCGTGTCGGAGATGGCGGAAGACGCGGTATCGGAGATGGGGACGGGGACGCTCGAAGTCCTGTTGGCCGCCGCCTTGGCGTTTGACTGTCCGTCCAGGAGCGGACTGTCTACTTCCGCGTCGCCTGCGTCGTCCGCGTCGCCCGCGTCGTCGCGCTCGTCGTCGTCGTCGTCAGATGTCAGCGCCGCGTTCAGCCTGGGCAGCAGCAAGCTGTCGTGGACCGGCTTCAACCCCCCCGCGCTCCCCATGCTGCCGTCCCCCGCTCCGCTGCCTGCTGCCCCCGCGTGGCCGCCAAACACGGAGGTGGCGCCGCTGCGCCATGAGGTGTCCCTGGATCCGCACGGGACGCCGGTTTTGGAACAGGCGCGTGTGGATAGTCCGAGTCCATCTTCTGGTGGTTCGCTCGTTGCTGCTCCCTGCTCGCTCGCTCCTGGTGCTAGCCCGCAGGGTCGTAGCCCAGGGTCCGTTCTGGAAGGGGTTGGAGCATCACCGGAGAGCAGTTCACGAGTAGGAGCAGGTTCTGCTGCTGCTGCTGCTGGTGTTGCTGGTGTACTTTGTCCTCCGCTTCCTTCACAGTGTCAGCCTAATCGTGGTGCTGCTGGCGGTGGTGCAGTGGCTAGGGGCGGAGAGGGACGGAAGGTGCAGTCGGTTGGGTGCAGCAGTGGTGCAGCTCTGTTCTCAGGGCTGCTAGGGCTTGGAGGGAGCTCAGGAGCTGGTGCAGTTGCTCTAGCCATCAGCAGGAAGCAGATGAGGTGAATGGAGGCGCATGATTCAGGGAAGGATACAGGCGCAGTGAAGTACAATACCGTTGGACACCGTTTTTGGAAGTTTTTAGCTATGTTGTGTCAGGTTATTTATCATTAGCATTGGGGAAGGGTTTCAGACTAGCAGTCAACATATGGTTGGCAAATCTAGGGGATATATGTGGTCAATTTGTGTTGACTACTTGTAGTTCTTGGTTTAAAGAAATAAATTATGTGTCTATGGAGAAGCAACAGGTATGTCTTGTAAAGCAACAGGTGGTGGAGGGTATGTCTTGTATGAATGTGGACTTTATTTGTTGATTGTTTGATTGCTGCATACTAAATAATCCAAGTAACGGGTTTCATATCTGTAAATCCAGAGGATAACACCTTAATCGAGACTAACGCATAACCTCAACGCATACTAGATGAGGGGCTGCCTGTCCACCAATCCAAAGCTCGCCACTTGGCGGCTGCGGATCCACTGGTCATCCTCGAGAAACTCGCGGGCATGCGGGGAGCTTGTTGTCCGCGCAAGGCCCATCACAGCAAGAGAAGCGGAAGGGTGCGGAGATTCTGGTTCGCCCCTTCCCTGTCTCTTGCGCTTCCTCAGTGTGGCCGCGCGAATGTTCTCCCCTGGCATCGTCTACTCCCGCTCCTCACCTCACGCCCCTACCGCTCTTCCTGCTCCCCCCGACCCGTCTGCTCGTTCCGCTGTTTTCGTCCCCGCACCTTGAGCCCGTGCGTGAGCCCTGTTCTGTTCCGTGACTCATGCTTACGACTGGTAAAATCCGACACTCGCTTGGGAGTTTCAAATCGGTGTGTAGTTTGAGAAGCAGATTCCTTCGCCCTCACGCAGTGTCACTTTTTTGTAATTATGTTATCTTATGGAAGCAGGCGATTGTCAACGTTGATTCGCATTTCTGTGTGATAGTTTTCGCTTTTCACGTTCTTGTTGTATTGAATAAGGAGCTAGGGTTATCTTTATAACGCATTCTTCTTCGCTCATGGTGTCAGGATTAGGGTTTGCCTATGAGTCTTGTTGGGACGCAAGGAGGCTCTCTGTATGCCGTTGTTCTTCTCGGTTTTGAACCGTTTTGAAAGTTTCTGTACGACTCGAATTTCGAAACGATTCTGGACGATACTGTGCGGTTCTCGCTCCGGAGCCACGCGAAGCGGCTCCGGTATGAGAATACTCGCGCTATGATTCATGGCAAGATTAGCGAGCCACGCTTCAGACAAAGCGGAAGGCTGTTCGGTAGGAAATGGAGAATCGTCATGCGGTGCTGATGAGGACGGTAACGTTAGAGAAGAGCTTCTCAAGCCGGCGGAGATCCCAAGGCAGACGGAAAATTTGACGGAAAGGGAGTCTACCAAGCAGGAAGAGATATCCGCGTTAGAAGGAGAAAGCTGTCGTCTTGACGAGTCGGGTGACGCGAAGAAGCAGGATCCTGGGAGGGGAGACGACAGGCCGAAAGAATCTACGAAGAAGAAGCGGGTATGTTAGATTGTGCATTCAAGGGTGCGTCGAGGATGCGCCGTTGGCATGAATATGCTTGTCTGGCAAGTGTAGCCTTAGTGGGTTCTGTGCTGGTACATTTCTCCCTACGACGTTTGTTTCACTAGTAAGTTTGCCTTCTTTTCATGACAATAGCTCTTGCTATTCTGTCTCTCTTTTTCTTCCCGTCCAACTCCCCTCTCTCCACCACTCCTCACTCGCCTCCCCTCCCGCCATCCATCCCTGCCCCCCTATCGCTTTCCTTACCTCTTTCCCTTCCCTCCTCCTTCCACCCCTCCCCTCTGTCCTTTTACCCCTTCTCAACCCCCCCACTTTTTATCCCCCCTCCTCCCCCTTTCCCCCTAACCTCCTCCTGCTCATCCCTCGTCCCCGTACCCCCGTAACCATGCATGTCTCTGTCATATCGTGTCTGCTCGTGTCTCCTCGTGTCTGCTCGTATCTCCTCGTGTCTGCGCGTATCTGCTCTTGTCTGCTGCCCGTGCGACCTCGTGCTTGTGCCGTCTCGTGCCTGCTCGTACCATCTCGTGTCATCTCTTGTCTGCTCGTGTCATCTCGTTCCTGCTTGTGTCATCTCAGCACTCCAACAAGACAGCGAAGCTTAAGCAGAGCAAGTTAGATGCCCGCAGGGAGCAGTTCCTCGCACAGGGTGAGTTGAAACGAGAGGAGTTGAGTTGAAACGAGAGGAGTTGAGTTGAAACGAGAGGAGTTGAGTTGAAACGAGAGGAGTTGAGTTGAAACGAGAGGAGTTGAGTTGAAACGTGAGCGAGGTGTGTTGATAGATGAGAGAAGGGTGAGTTGAAACGAGAGCGAGGTGAGCTAAAACGAGAGCGGTGAGTTGAAACGAGAGCAAGGTGCGTTGAAACGAGAGCGAGGTGAGTTGATGAGAGCTGGGTGAGTTAAGGGTCCAGAGAACCTAGAGCAAGGTAAGTAACACACCATCAACGAAGGTGATATACCAATTGAAGTCCTTGCTAAGAGTACCCACTAACAGGCTCCCTATCATTCTCTTTTGCGGATTCGACAAGCAGCTTTAACCGCCATATTCTTGTTTTTTGGAATTCCTAACCGTCTTATACGTTTCCCCCCTTCAACCGTCTCTTATCCTTGTTTTCTTCCCATGCAGTTGCTGCTGCTAAGACCGCAAGTCCATCCCAAGGCTCAACCGAAAAGAGTCCCAGTGTTAAGAAAGGTACCAAAGTCGCAGGTGACGAATCTGATGTGACAACAGCGGGGTCTCTTTTAGGGCATCGAGATCCGCACGCAATCCCTAACGGCAGTGCTGAGAGTGACAGTAGCGAGCGTGAGAGGAACGAAAGTGTTGCTGCCGCTGGGGCTGGGGCTCCCAGTTTAAAACCCTGCGGGGGTGTAGCTGGGCCGTTAGAAGAAGCAGGGAAAGCAAAGGAGACAGGGGATGATCAGTCGATTGGTGGCAGCATACCCCGTACAGGATGTAATGGGCTTTTGGAACAGAGGAGAGGCAGAGATGAGCAGTGTCGCGAAGAGGAGGAGCGGGAGCGAGACAGAGAGAACGGAGGAGCGGTGGTGGAAGGAGAAACGGCGGAGGAAGCCGAAGAGAAGCAATGGTGGGAGGATTCGGATGAAGACGAGGGTGATCCAGGGGAGGGTGGTGCAGGGGAGGGTGAAGTGGGGACGGGCGGTTTGAGGGATGGAGATGGTGTGGTGACGGGTGGGGAGAAAGATAGGGCGGGGAGCGGCGGTAGCAGCACAGGGAAGGCCGTCTGTGAAGATTCACTGAAGAGTCGTTGCGAGGAGGGCGAGCAGTTGGAGAAAGCACTGCACGTTCAGGAGGCTGGGCAGTTGAAGGAAGCTGCGAGATCTGAGGAGGGGGAGGAGGGGGGTGTGGTTGTTGAAATTTCAGTAGAAGCGAAAGTGGAAGCAACGTGTGAGATTGCAGCAGCAGCAGCAGCAGCGGAGAGGGAGAGGGCAGTAGAGAAGGGGGAGAGTGCAGCAGTGGAGGGTTTAGGTGGGTTAGGTTCTGAAGCCAAAACAATCATTCCAGGCACAGCAGCAGTGGAGGTGGCAGCAACAGTGGTATCAGTGAGTGATGGGGCTGAGGAAGGGAGTAAGGGGTCGGTCAGTGGCATTGGTTTCAAAGCAGCAGCTTCGCTAGTGCTGGCAGGTACTGGGACCGCTGACGGTGCTTTGGCTGATGGTGGTGCTTCCGCTGCTGGTGGTGCTTCCGCTGCTGGTGGTGCTTCCACTGATGGTGGTGCTGCGTGTGCTGATACTGGGGTGAAAGGCGGGAAGAAGAAGGGGAAGAAGGGGAAGGAGGGGAAAGGGAGGAGGCAAACAGGGGAGACGGAGGAGAGGAGTATGGGAACGAAACAGAGAAGTAAGGAGACTGCAAGAGGGCGATTGGACGGGGACGGTAAGTGTGAAAGTTCTGAGAAGTCATGTAGCAGCAGTGGGAGGAAAAGTACAGATGTCGCTGCTGCTGAGTGTGGTAGCATTGCTGATTGTAGTAGCAATGACAGGAGGGAGGGCGGCATTAGCAGCGGGGGTAGTGGCAGATGTGGGGGTGCTAGCATGTTTGAGGCGTCTCAAAGCAGTTGCGAGTGTGGTGATCGTGGTGATGGCAGCGCTGGAAGGGGGACAGGAGGGAGGAAGGAAGGGGTGGAGCGGCAGGGGAGAGGGAAAGGGGAGAGGGAACGGAGTGAGAAGAACGAGAAGAATGGGAAGATTGCGAGGAGAAAGAAGAATGGATTGGTGAATGGAGCACGAGGGATCGGTGGCTGTGATATCATCTCTGGGCGAGTTGTGGAGCTGTATTTGAAGGGGAAGAACAAGAAGAGCAAGAGAGGGGAGGGGGAGGAAGGGGAGGAGGAGGAGGAGGGGGGGGAGGGGAAGGAGACGAAGGAGAGTGAAGAATGTGCGAAAAATGGGGAGGAGGGTGAGGACAGCGGCCAACAGAGAGTGCAGCAGGAGAGAACAGGTGGGTGTGCGAAGCGCCGTATGAATGGGAGCCATGCACGTGGGGAGAAGAACAAGGACGGCCAGGAGAGTATTGAGGAAGGCAATAAAGAGGATGAGAATGATCAGAAGCAGGGGCAGCAGGGGCAGGGGCAAGGGCAGGGGAAGAGAATGGGCCAGGGCGAGGGCGAGGGGGAGCGGGCGGGGGAGGGGGAGGGGGAGGCCGGTGAGGACGAGGGGAGTGGTGATGAGGAGGATGACTGGGAAGCAGCAGCAGATGCTATCTGCTCAGAGGTACAAGAAATCCTTGAAGAGAGTGAAGCTTCTGAAACTGGGTTGATTGTGCAGGGCGCTGGGGGTTATGCTCGGGGTGTCAATACCAGCAGTGCTGACAGCACAGCCACCAGCACAGGCAGCCTAAGCAGCAGTAGTTTCAGTGGCGGCAGTGGAAGCAGCGGGAACAGTGGGAGTGGGAGTGGGAGCGGAAGCGGCAGCTACAGCAGGGGGAAGGGGTGGGGGAGTTCCGGGGGTCAAGGCGGGGTGCATTGGGAGGGTGGGTTGCGGCCAGGGGTGAGGATGAACGGACCTGTGAGACATGTGAGCCATGGGGCACATATGAGTCACATAAATCATGTGGGGCATGTGAGTTACATAGGCCATATAGGGCATGTGTCTCATGTGTCTCAGGGTGGGTGGAGCGCCCATACGGACTCATCAGCACCTTCCTATTCTGAACGATACAGCTCCCCGGCGCCGGCATCGCTCTTCCATCCCCACAACACCTCCCCCCAGTTCTGCTCCTTCTCCTCCTTCACCTCCTCTTCCTCCCCGTCCTACTCCTCGCTCTCCTCTTCCTCCTCCTCCTCCTCCTCCTCCTCCTCCTCCTCCTCCTCCTCCTCCTCCTCCTCCTCCTCCTCCTCCTCCTCCTCCTCCTCCTCCTCTTCCCGTGTGTCTGATTCTCAAGCTGCTCGCCTCTCCTCCTCCTCCTTTCCTTCCTCCTCTGTCCCATCCTCCTCCTTCCCATCCTTCTCCTCTGCCACTCTCAGACCAAACCACACTCTCACCTCCTCCAACACCTCCTCCTCTCCCTCCTCACCCTCCTTATCACTCTCAATTGGTGGCACTCAGAGCATAGACTTCTGCAACGGGACAAAAATCACTGGTGGGGGGTTGAGACCAGAGTATACATACAATGCGGCAGGCATGGGGGGAAGGGGGCAGTTGCGCTGCCCTGCTGCTGCCTCTGCCGCCGCTGCTGCTGCCACTAGTGGCGATCGTGGCTGGCGCACGGACGAGTGTGGTTTTGCTGATCTGAGGCGCCTCAAAAGCTCCTCTGTATCTACCACCGCCGCCGGTACCACCACTGCCGCTGCTGCTGCTGTGTCATCTGCTTCTTCAGCGTCTGCTGCTGCTGCTGCTGCTGCTGCTGCTGGTAGTGGTGGTGCTACCGGTGCTGCTGCTAGTGAGCGAGCGTGGCGACCAGACGATTCCTCTCGGCCGCCTTCCCTGCCTCCCCCGGTTGCTCTACTCTCCTCCTCTTCCTCCTCCTCTTCATCCTCCCCGTCCTCCTCGTCTCCCTCCTCTTCCTCCTTCTCTTTCTCATCCCTCAACTATCAAAATCATTACCAGCAGCAGCAGCAGGAGTTTGCACGTGCGCCCAGTTTCGCTCATATGGGCAGCAACAGTAACAGCAGCAGCAGCAACAGCATGTGGAACCCACACCACCGCTCCTCCTCCTCCTTCTCCTCGTCCTCCCCTCCGTCAGTCTGGACCTTGGCCAGTTTCATCCGGTCCCCCCATAGCACTTTCTCCTCCTCCTCGTCCTACCTACCATCCCACAACAACCCATCATCACCACCACCAGGAGCATCACACTCATCAGACCCAGCAGCAGCGGCAGCGGCAGCAACGCAGCTGTGTCCGATCTGTGCAGAGGAGCTCGATAACACCGACTCTTCCTTCCTCCCCTGCTCGTGTGGGTTCCGCCTTTGTCTCTTCTGCCACCACCGCATCGCATCAGACGACGGACGCTGCCCGGGCTGCCGCCAGGCCTACAGCCCCGAGGTAGCTGCCAAGCTCTCCCGCCCGCCGAACCTCAAGCTGCGGTCGTAGCAGCATCAAGACACGTCTCCTTGCGCCTCTACACCTCTTTCTGATGCTTCCTTCCACCGTTGCCACTCCCTCCTCCCTTCCCACCACCTCCTCCCTGCTTCTCTGCTTCTACCGATGATGGTCGTTACCTGTTGCCAAGGCTACAGCTCCTGCCTGAGTGAGCCTCTGAGCTCTCCCGTTACCCCTATCTCTAAGCTCCATGTGCTGCTGTTGGCACAGGGAGCTTGGATCCCTACACTGGCGGTTAAACTCTTTCAACTCTAGCCTCGTGTCGCAGCAGTATCATGGGCGAGCACTGCAAGAGTGAATGTTTGGTACACCCACACCCTAGCCAATATGCGTATTTGGTATAATGGCTCAGTCGTGTCCATTAGGTTTTTTGTGCACTTCTGTTTCGGTTTCTGGATGAATATTTTGCCCCAGTTTTGTCCTGTGCCTGCCGTCTCATTTTGATAATATCACTTGTGTGCTCATGAGTGCGTTCCTTGCTGTTACAAATCAAATCCTCTCTTGCTACAGTGCTGCTGAACTATTTCTTACTGGAGCTCCAAACAATAGCGAGAGCACCGACAACAGATGCGGTTCCTAGAAACTTACACCTTTGAAGTACACACTTTTAACACCACAAGAGCGCCACCTCGGTAGGTGCGAGTACAAAGAACAGGCAACTAAAAAACCAAGCAGAAATCATCTGCTGCTGGTGGTTGAATTGGGTCAAATGGTACACGAATTGTGCACCTAGCTTATAAGTATAATAGCAAAATCATTTCAATCCGCAACTCACAAAATTGTGCTATCTACTTGAAAGTACATGTTATTAGCGCTACAGCAACCAAATCACGCAAAAAGACACCGCCTGAGTGACGACATCCCAGGCATATCCGCCAAACCTGCTGGCCCGCCTGAAATGCCACCACCGTTCAAAACCAAGTCGGCGGAAGAGACTGAACCAGACGCCATGGATGCCAGGGCAGCAGAAGCCGGAGCCATCCCAGCAGCAGACCCAACCGACCCCCAGCTATCATCGGCTTGTCCATTTCCAAGCGTCATTGTCGTGCTGGTATACGCTGCTGTAACAAAGTTACCACACCCCTTCAGGTTGCTGTTCTGCAGTTGTGTTTTCGCCGCCGTTGGTGCTACGAGTGGTAGCGGGGCAGTCAGCGGGCTGGGCTCTGTGCTGGGATGAGACGGGCCGAGCACGGGGGTTGCATCGGGTGTAATCGGCGTCAGAGCAGGGACTGCGGGAGGCAAAGTCGCCTTGGGGAGCTGCGCAGCTGCAAAGGGGACTGTAGAGGATGAGGAGGATGCAGATGCACAGGAGGAAGCGGAAGTGTTGCAGTTACGCTGAGGTTCCGAGCAAGCAGCAGCTGGAAGAGAAGAGAGAGAAGCAACAGGAAGAGCGGAGGTACCAACGGCAGCGGGAAATGCAGCCGGCGGAAGCTGAAATTCTCCGGAAGTGGGAGGGGTAGGGATCGAGGCTCGTGGAGTGGGAAGTGGCGGAGAGGGGTGCGTGAGAGTGGGCGGGGCGAGGGTGCTGGATGGTGTGAGGAGCTTTCGAGCTGCTGAGAGAGCGAGGGGCTTTCGAGCGAGAGCCAGGCAGGGGGATATCGGAGCAAGATCTGAACGGGCGGGGGAGGGAGTGGAAGCGTTCCGAGAGGGAGTGGAGAGATTGGGAAGCCAGAGCAGGCGCTTTGGAGCCAACCGCTTCTGCTGCTGCTGCTGCTGCTGCTGGTGCTGATGAGGATGATGTTGATGCTGATGCTGATGATGAATCTGTTCCTGCTGTTGGTTCGCCTCGTTCTGCTCCATCGGGCGGAGCTGGAACGTCTGAAACCGCTGTGTTGCGCGTGGCTGATGCTGCTGCGGTTCCTGGTGCTGCTGCTGTTGCTGCTCCTGCTGCTGTTGCGTTAACGCGTAAGGCTGGAAGAGCGCCGGACCCGCCTGACTCTGCATCGGCTGCTGCTGCTGCTGCGTCTGGAACAGTTGCTGCGGTTGCAGCGGCTGCTGTGGCTGTTGTGGCGGGAACGGTTGCTGGCACCGTAACGGCGCAGTACGGCAGACGAACGGCGACGTGTCAACCACAGCCGACCACGGAGAACCCACCACCACCGCATTGCCCCCTCCTCCCAGCGGCGATCCGAACACGGGCGATGGCGCAACCCACTGCGCGTGCCCCACAGGAGACGGCGGAACTGATGGCGCGGAGAGCGGCGACGGCGACCCGGCCACTCGCATCGCCGCAATTCTTCCAAGAATCGGTGTTACCCCGATCTGCGGGGACAGGAGCGGCGCCATTGCTGGCGTCATCGCTGGCGCCACAGCAGCAGTCGGCAGGGGAGACAGAAGCGCAGCGGCGACGCTCGTCGACCCACACGACCGCACCGGCGTTCCCACCGCGAACCCCGCGTGAGGCACAGCTCGCGGTCGCAGGGGCGACGCGAACCCGGCGCCGGTCATCGCGGCGCTCATACCGCCCGCCCTTACCGGCCGTCCGTTCGGCGCGAACACCTTCCGCCGTACGATCCGCCCGCCGCGCGTGTGCACGAGGATCCACGGGTGCGCCAGGAGCTTGTACGCTGGAGGGCGGCGCGCGGGGTCTTTAACTAGCAGACACCGGACGAACAACTTAGCTTCCGCCGACACGCTCTGCCATGCGGGCGAGGAGAAATCCGGCCCGTCGTGGCAGATCGACCGCATGATCTGCGCGTCGTCCTTCCCGCCAAAAGGCGGCGCGCCGCAGAGCAGAATGTAGAGCACCACGCCGAGAGACCAGACGTCCGCCGCGAAGTCGTACTCGCTAGAAACAACCTCGGGAGCCATGTATAACGGTGATCCCGCGATTCCCGAGGCCTTTTCGCCCTTGGCGAGAAGAACAGCAAGCCCGAAATCCGCTAGCTTCACGCTGACTGCTTCTCGCGGCGCCGCAACACCTTTGGGAGCCGCACGGATGGAATCGGCACCGGAAACCGCGCCGGAATTCCCGCCGGAACGAGCGATGGCAGACGACGACGACGAAGACGATGCCGACGCTGCCGACGCGGAGAGGAGGATATTCTCAGGCTTGACATCGCGATGCATGACGCCCTGCGAGTGGCAATACGCGACGGCCGACACAAGCTGTTTGAACACCCTCGCGGCCTCCTTTTCCGGGAACCTTCCGTGTCGCTCCACCGCCTCGTACAGCTCCCCTCCGTCGCAGTAATCCATGACCAGATGCATGGATTCGGGGTCCTCGTGCACGGATTGTAACTGTACGATGCTCTCGTGGCCCGACACGCGTTTCATCGCGGCGATCTCGCGTTTCATCTCCACTACGCCGAACTTGGCGCTGTTCTTGGGGATGCTCTTGCAGGCGAACGTCCTCCGAGTTATCCGATCCTCCACAGCCCAAACCTGTCCAAAATGGCCTTGGCCAATCATTCGAGTCTTGGAGTAACGCTCGTGAAGCGGCGCGACTGACGTCAGCGACGAATCCGCTGCTGCTGGTGCAGCTTGCGCTGGCGGCGGTGGTGATGCTGCTGCTCCGCATCCTGCTGGTGCTTGTGCTGGTGCGAGGAATGGAGAGGAAACGGGTTTAGGCGGGGATGACATCAGACGGAGCTCCGGGAATTCCGGAACCGAGACGTTTCGTTTGTGACGGTTGGTCGAGTAGGGGGAGGGAGCGAAGGTGACGAAATCCGAGATATCATCGCGAGCTATGGCGGCTGGAAACTGAGGCGATTGAAATCCCTTTGGCTGGAAGCTATCGTGAGTTGCTGACAGTCCGTCACGCTCAGCTTGCTCGCAGCCGACTCTGGCCGTCATCGTGCGGTTTCCTTGTAACTGTAACGAAAAAATCCCTCGAGGATATAGAAGCCTAATTCACGACGAAGTAAAGAGTGGTCTCAGCTGGTACTAATTATTTTAGCTGAAATAAGCTGGAGAAGGTAAAAAACAACGCGAAGGTTGAAAACTGGTCAGCAGACTACGAACGCAGGAATTTGAACTGCAAATCACACTCGCGTGAACTACTGGAAACCACAACGATCGAATCAGGAATAAGCTCGTTCCAGCTCGGCAGGAGTCTGACTTTCTAAAGCTCGGTTGTACAAATCTCGCTTTTCCTGAAGCTTGGCTGGTCAGATATCCATTTCTCACTTGCTATGCTGGATTCAGCTGAATCTCGATAACTGCTCGCTCACTCGCCTTCACTGACTCACGGACCACGGTCACCTCATGGGCCATGGCATGGTATGGCATGCCCTTCTTGGGTTTGTCTGCCGAACAGGTAGGGGGGAGGCTGGGGGAAGGAGGGAGAAAGGTTGCGGGGATGAGGGGGAATGGGGGAAATTATTTCTATGTTGGGGGGAGAAAACCGCTCTCCTCTGAAAGCATCCTTCCGAAAAGGCGCTGACCGCATTGGGAATTCCTGTGTTGTGGGGATTGTCCGAGCTCCGGGAGAGAGGACGGGGCGGGGGGAGGGGGGGTTTGGAGGGGGAGGGAGAATATTGGCGCATCGAGGTTTCATGTGGTGGCTGCAGTACAGTTCGCGTGACCTGCGGTTTCGCTTCGGTTTTACCGAGCTCCAATCAGATTCCTCAGGAAACCTCCAGAAACAGTGCGCCTGGGCTCAGAGACTTCCGCAGAGGTGCTGCGGGCGGGAACGAGATTGTAGGTGGAATGCGCAGGCCGAACAGTGCTGGTGTTTTCCTGGTGCGCGGGTTTTGGCATTCCGGGGTTGCGAACCAATACCCACATCGGGATGATACAGAGCCCATCTGGCTCGTTCGCACACATGCCACTGACCCGTCTCCTGAAGCGACAGCTCGATGGGATGTGCGAATTGTGGGGGAAGCCGCGGGGAGGGTTGTTGGGGAACCCCCCTTGGCCCTGTGGTGCGCATGCGGGCGGAACTCCTTACTGGTCTAGCTGACCATGGTTGTTAGACCCCGGCTGGAGTCGCTGTATTCTACCTGCGCTCTGCTGGAAGGGCGCGACTAGATTGGTTGAGTGGTCAGTGGGGCTGAAGAGGTGTTGGTTCGGGGGGCAGGCATTAAGTTCAAATGGCAGAGGATCCACGTCTTGGCGCGTTGCAATCTAACACGAAAATGTTCCCGCCAAACCTGAGTCAGAAGGGGCTTCTTATGAATTCAAATGGCACGTCTGATTCAGAAAGGCATGACTAAGCGAATCGCGATGTGTCGGCCGATGACCAATGGTTGCGGCAGTCTAGCGACAGGTCATTCATTTTGGGGATCCTCCGCGGGAGAGCCAGCGGAAAGGGGGAGTTGGGGGGAAGTTATTGGGGAGGAGAAGCTTGATCTGACGCGACAAGTCTAACCCAATGGGAAAACCTCCAACTTTCTTGCGGTAGATGTTGAGGGGCTCCAGGTTTCCTCCCAGCGACACGGCTTTTCCCAATCCACTCACCTTGGAATATGGGAGTTTGGATAAACAAAAGCACACTGGACTATGACACTTTGGAAATATCTTGGACTATCCCATACACTCCAATCTAAGAACTGGGTGGTGGAAGTGGGGTCTAGAAAATATGGCTGGAAATCCATGATTTACAAATACGGCTGTAGACGACTGAGGAAAGAAGTGTGCGTTACATTTTATGGTTCAACGAGAATCCAGAACGTTGCCCGAGTTTTCAGTCGCATCCAGTACCGCCAGGGTTCAGAATGCTACGGCGGTTTACCCTGTTGAGTCTGCTTTTCAGAGTAAGAGTTTTTCGACCGCCTTGCAAATACAGCGATGTCGGAAAGCACAGCCTACCATACTTGACGTGGTAGGAAACACCATCACGCTAACAAAATTTGTTCTGCCATTTGAGCAGAATTCAAAATGAGTGTTAGTGTCACAAAACTCGAGATCGGCTAAGTAACGATCGATCAATTAAGAGCAGGTTGGAATGGTTGCGGATGCAGTACAGCACCCATTTTATGAAACGTAAGCTCCTCTGTTGGTGTTATCTCGTGCAAGCCGCAGCTCGCCTTGTTGTGTGGAGGCCCTCTCAACACCGACTGACCCTGCTAGTAGGTTCACGCAGTGTTCGATTTGACACTCCCATATCCGACCGGGGAGAATATTCCGGTCTAATATTCTGGCTACCGTGTACACCCTGTTTCTCACTACACTGAACTGTGCCCAACAGGTGGAAAATCTTGTTATCTTTGATTTGTCTGAATGAACCATACCGAGACTTAATCTAACCACCGTTAACCGTGCTTTTCCCATCTTGACTTCACTATAACCGAATTCACAATGGCGAGAAAGAGGGTGTATCTGGAAGACAACAGTGGCAGGGTGAGCCTCGTTCGAGACTCGAATTTGATAAGATTACCCGAAACAAATTGAGAAACCCGCTAGCTAAGCACCCACCGGCGCCACCTACCACCGAAAGGAAATATGCACCCATCCAACCTTTCAGGAGATAATTCGGAAGATATTACTCGGAGAATCAGAAACCTGACAACCAAAGAAGAATCACGGGAATTCTGGAAAAGTAATCTCCGCGATAATTCGTTCATTGCACTGAACTTCATCATGTGCATCACGTGGGCCTCCTTGGATGCATGGAGGTTACACCAATCGACGGGTCAAACTTCTGACAAGAAGAAGCAATCTTCCGGATATGCAGCTGAAAAAGCGGTGCATCAGGCTCTTGACGAAATCTTGACTCACTTGCACTGTCATACTGTGAAACGTACTACCCTCTGTGACAAACATCCTCTTTAATGGTTGTGAAGAATGTTCCATATAAGATTCATGCGTATGATGTTGACTGCATATGGGTGACTGCAGTTCGATTCATCATATATAGGTGAATGTGTTGTGCCTCGTTTGTATTGATGCAGCATGTTATTCAAAAATAATTATTTCTTGGTTTGAAAATCTGTGATACAGCCCGAACACCCCATCCCCTCTCCCCACCCCCCCCCCCCCCCCCCCCCCCCCGCTCGCCCCCCACATGCATGCATGCACACGCGCACACGCATGCACATGCACACATAACAACAACTAGGAGGAAGTCCGTTACGAGGTGTTACAATCCTAAAAGGACTTAGCGAAGGATCGCCTCATGGTTGATCGCATGTTGGTTTGTTGCAGCGGGAGTGTTGAACTCATATGAGAGTGAAGGTAACTGACTGATACTGATAAAAGCATGCATACGTCAGGTTTATATGGGAAATACAAAGGAATGCGAAACGACCAAGACTGGCCATGTACTATAAGAGGTATATTTCCCTATTGCAGCTAATTCAAACCGTGTGGCGCCGCGGCGCGGGAACCCGTTCCAAACATGTTCCTGCTCTTTCAGTTGAAATGCTTTGCCTGCATCGGTCTTGATCTGAGGGTTGCTAGTGTCACTTCGACTCTTCTGACTCCTCGACCTTGTACTCATAGAGTGGGCTCCTGCAGCATACTGGAATGCCTTTTTGTTTAAGTTGATATCATATCACGAGATGTAAATTGAGAAAAAACATCGTGCACTCTTTTCAGCAACAAGCAAAGCACACAGTACCGGGGCTCGAGACAAAGAGTCAGGAATGACTCGAAGCGATGCGAACAGTGGAAGAGCATCAGGATCGTTGGAGCAGACAACACCAGACAGCTGCAGGAACGAGAAAAAAGGTGGGACAACACCGGGCAGCTGCAGGAGCGAGGGAAAAGTCGGGTACACAAGCAGAATAATAAACAAGCAACAGCAGGTACTGCACGCGGGCTAACTCTGGCTGGTCACCCCCTCCATCTCCTCACCCTCCTCCTTCCCCTCCCCCACACTGCTGTAGGAGCAGCAGAGAGGGGGGGAAGAGAGGAGAGGTGGAGGGACGGCTGCTGGTTGCCTCACACCCGCCACCCCGGTGCCACTCCCCCTGCTCCCCCACACCCTCACACCCTCCCCCCCAGCGGCAGCTGCAGCAGTGGGAACGAAAGGAGGAGGAGGGGAAGGGAAGGAGACGACCCAACACTCCAACACCCGCCACCCCCATACCCTTGTCAGAATATTATATTATGTTCTAGCCTGTAGTGGGGTGCTCTATAGCGAGTACAACCCTTCTAGGGTTTGCTATTTGTATCCTCATTCTTGCTAGTTCAATCCTCTTTCTTCCTTCAAATTTTGTCAACCCTCCTCCCCACGGCTGCAGGGAGACAAAGGAGGAGGGGGTGGGCGGGAAGAAAGCCGCAGAGCGGCTACATTGTGTCAGCGTAGATAGGTCAGGGGCGGTTGCAGGGATAGCAGGTGCGGAGAGGCGCATTGCGTGCTACGGGGCGCACGACGGGTAAGTTTAAGTTTAGGGCCCGGTCGTGTGCCTCGGGGCGCACGACGAGCAGGGCAGCGTCGCGTGCCACGGGGCGCACGACGGGCAGGTTTAGGGCCCCGTCGCGTGCCACGGGGCGCGCGACGGGCAGAGAAGGAGTCACTCGCCAAC